AACAGTTCTTTCTAATGTCTCTTGTGGCTCATTTTCAAAATTCAAAATTAAAAAAATTCAAATGTTTATTCAGGTAAAGTACATACACACAGAGTGTGTATGGGTAATTTGGGTACTCGGCTTCCACCTGTGTCCCCTTGTGCGTGTACCAATCGTGATAAACAGTTTATCTTGATTTACACTGTCAATTCCTCTGAGAATTTTATAGATAATGATCATGTCTCCCCTAGCTCGTCTGTCTTCCAGTGTCGTGAGGTTCAGTTCCAGCAGCCTTTCCTCGTAGCTCATACCTCTCAGCTCGTGGACTAGTTTGGTGGCATACCTCTGAACCTTTTCTAACTTCAGTTTGTGTTTGACTAGATGTGGACTCCAGGCTGGAGCCGCATATTCCAGTATTGGTCTGACATATGTGGTATACAAGGATCTAAATGATTCCTTACACAAGTTTCTGAAGGGGAAATTTGCGTAATATTTTACATCCTAGTCGAATATTATGGATCAGATACATCTTATTGAAGGGTCGTAGTTTAGTTTTGAGAAATCGTGGTAGTTCTCAGTAAATTATAATATTTATTCTATGAATTATTATCTGTAAATTTTTAATTTGGCGCCAAATTATAATATAAACAATAGAATATGCTCTATACAAATTAAAGAAAATGGATCGTACATTGTGTTATAGAAAACGTATAAAGTAGGGTACACTACACTACCGCCCGCAGGATGGGTATGGGGTCCACAGCTCTCCAGGGGATAGAAACAGGGGACCATAACACCCACAGAATGGGTATTGTGTCTAGTACTACCAGCACATGCACCCTGTGCTTCCATGTACCGGAGTTACATATACCGGAGTCACTACCGGGACTCAGCTGTGATTTAAGGGTCCCGGTAGTACAGTCGGGTTCGTTCTCGACCCACAATCGAGAATTCCGGAGTTGAATCCCGGTCGAGACAGAAATGGTTGGGCACATTTCCTTTCACCTAATGCCTCTGTTCACCTAGTAGTTAGTAGATACTGAGACGTTAATCAGCTTGTGGGGTTGCATCTTGGACGGGGTCTGTAATTCGGCCTTGGTGGGGGGGGGGGAGAGACCTCGATTTAAGCCTAACGTGTATTAATACACTCTGGCTTCCTGTCCCCCCTACACAATGAATTATATGTACCCTGTACCACCAAATGTACTCTGTACCCACACTTGTACTCTGCATCCCATCCTCAAAGAACCGATGGGTATTGGGTAATATATGTGAACAAAATATTAATCAATAATTACGAAAGTAATCAATTTATTATACAATTCGTGCATCCTGGGAATGGTCAGTAACTCGACCTTGTGGAGCACAGAGCACAGAGGACAGCACGGAGACCTTGTGGGACTGAGCACAGAGACCTTGTGGGACTGAGCACAGAGTCCTTGTGGGACTGAGCACAGAGATCTTGTGGGACTGAGCACAGAGATCTTGTGGGACTGAGCACAGAGACTTTGTGGGACTGAGCACAGAGACCTTGTGGGACTGAGCACAGAGACCTTGTGGGACTGAGCACAGAGACCTTGTGGGACTGAGCACAGAGACCTTGTGGGACTGAGCACAGAGATCTTGTGGGACTGAGCACAGAGACCTTGTGGGACTGAGCACAGAGACCTTGTGGGACTGAGCACAGAGACCTTGTGGGACTGAGCACAGAGGACAGCACAGAGACCTTGTGGGACTGAGCACAGTGCTCTAAGTTTGGCTAAATCTTTTGCTGTAAGGAGGAAATTGATTACCATCTCTGATTGCCTCTAAGCGGCCTGAGGCGCAGCAATATTCCAAGAAAGTAAAGCAAATCTAGTTGACTTGAGGCAAAGTTAAATAACGAATAATAATTAATAATTTTAATAATAGTTATTAAGATTAATAGTTCACCTGTGGTGGACATAGCTACCACATATGGCTCCTTATTTTAGTATTTTGAATGATTTTAAAGCATAATAATTACCATTGTAGTGAAGTTCTCAGCGAAGATGATAGATGTTGACAGATAAATGCTCTCTTGACTAAAATAGAAAAAAAAGAGTTAAAAAAGTTATAATAAGCCTCCATTTTGTGTCAACAAATGTTTCATATGGGGTCCACTATCACCCAGAAGGATAGGTATGGGGTCCACTACTGCAGACAGGTGGGTGGGCGTAGTGGACCCCATACCCATCCTGTGGGTGGTAGTGGACCCCCATACCCATCCTACGGGTGGTAGTGGACCCCATACCCATCCTACGGGTGGTAGTGGACCCCATACCCATCCTACGGGTGGTAGTGGACCCCATATACATCGAGTGACTAGTTGTGGACCCTATATCCATCCTGAGGATACACTGGCAGTGTTGAAGGCAGCAATGTTCAGTGTACAGGTTCCCAAGTAGGAAGACTCAAGAGGCAAGACCGACGAGAAGCATCAACATCAGAGGCTGGTGTCACGTGACGGACTTGGCGTGGTGAGAGGCGATGTCGTGTTATTTTATCCCGTCGTTGTAGATGTTATTTAGTACCCCGAGACGGTCTTCGTTGCCTTCCTTACTGTCTGGCTGTGGTCGTCTGAGGTGGAGGTTACGATAAGACAGTTATAAGCTTATAAATCTCAAGGTAAACATACAGCTCTAACAGGCAGAACTGAAGAGGTTGGAGCTGTAGAGGGCGTGGAGGAAGGAGCTGGGAACCGCCTGACATCCTATAAGACTCGTCTTGAGACTTATACTCCAGGCTTACTCGAGGAGTACCTTGGGGAGACTGAGACAGGAAGAGTGAGGAAGGTGACTGGAAGTCTTGTTTTGAGGACGAGAGGAGCACCGAGGACCCATCCGGCGTAACGTGGTGATCGTCGAGGACGCCACTTGTGCAGAATAATATTCTGAACAATGTCATCCTGGACGTTAATAGTTATTATAAAGCATAAATGTTCACACTTCAATAAGTTAAAATCACTTAATTTGTCATTAACGAGCAATATCTTAAGTCAATTGAAAGCAAATATTTAACATCATCCAGTGTTGTGTCAGGAACTTTGGTTGTTGTGTTTGTTAGTCTGTTATTGCATATATTGTATATTGTAGTTGTGGAGCGGCCATTAACAGTTCTTGACTGACGGACGATTACTACTTCACTGCCGATTCTATTGCAAATGTTGCTCTGTTGTACCTGTTGTTCTGTTGCAACATTTACAATAGAATGTTGTATTTGGTTTGTGAATTAGATTTTGAAATTAACAACTTCAAACATTCAAGCTGGGGATCATTATTGGTTCATTAGAGACTCGTTCGTATTTGGGGAAGTGCAAGAGTGGTTGTTGGCCATTGTTAATTGACACTTCAGACGCGCAAAATGTTAACCAATGGGGTGAGTTTTAGGGTGAATGTCAACCAATCAGCGGCCGGGTTTGGTTGGCTGCTGGTTATAAAAGAGACGATGAGACAAAACTCACTTCAGTGTGGTTTTACCTCACTTTTGGTATACAGTTCCAGCTTCGTCTCTTGAAGTTGAGCTGTATGTGGCGGGCCCCCTTCCCCCTTCCCCCCCTTGTTGCCCCCCCCCCCCCTCTGCCCCTTGTTGCGTCCCCCCCCCCCTCCCTCCCTCCCTTTGTTGCGTCCCCCCCCCCCCCCCCCCCGTCTCCTCCCCCCCTCCTCCCTCGCTCATTGTTGCGTCTCCTCCCCCCTCTCCTCCCTTGCTCCCTTGTTGCGTCTCCTCCCCCCCTCCTCCCTGCTCATTGTTGCGTCTCCTCCCCCCTCTCCTCCCTTGCTCATTGTTGCGTCTCCTCCCCCCTCTCCTCCCTTGTTCATTGTTGCGTCTCTTCCTTGTTGCGTCCCCCCCCCCCCACTCCCTTGTTCATTGTTGCGTCTCTTCACCCCACCCCCTTGTTCATTGTTGCGTCTCTTTTCCCCCCCCCCCCCCCCCCCCTCCCTCCATTGTTGCGTCTACTCCCCCCCCCCCTTCCTCCTCCCTTGCTCATTGTTGCGTCTTCCCCCCCCCCCCCTGCTGCCTTGTTGCGTCTCTCCCCCCCCCCCCTGTGCTCCCTTGTAAAAATATATAAATTCTAAGCTATATTAAGTTTAACGACTACTTTAATTCAGCAACCTAGAGATGTAATTCTAGCAATGGGTAAAGTAAATTTCTAAGCCATGAACTAGGTTCTGTTAATCTTCAGGATGTCTATCCATGGTATTTAGTTTTTTATAACCATAGACGCTAATTATGTAACTTCCTGTCGTATATATATTGTAAAAATTGCCTTATAGTAGCATTTCAGTTGATTGTATAATTCATGACTTGAGTGTAGAATGTAAATAGTTGTAATGTAAGAAGTTACGGGAATACTTGGTCCTGACCATTGGACCTAAACGATAGTTAACTACAGGATCGTAGTGGTGCAGTTGTCAGCGCCTCGGAGGTCTACACAAGGCTGTAACAAGCCGGACAAACGCCCAGTAAGTAAGTCAGATGTTTCTCTTGGACACTTCCCAACAGTGGATTACTTTAGCAGTTCAGAAAGTTTACTAATATACAATACAGCCATACACGTTTACTGTATTCGTTACTTAGGCCAATCTTGACACTTATTCTGGTAAATGCAGACAGTTGATTACTTTTTTACTTTAACAGCTTAACTAAATTGCTTAGCAGTCACTGTTGCTACAAAGGTGTAGCATTAATCGGTCTTCTATAGTTTTTTGGCTGGGCTGGACGGTAGAGCGACCCCATGTAGATCCCCCCCCCCCAAAAAAAAACTTTCAGCCTGATTCGAAAGTTGTCTACAAATATTTAGATTATCTATAACCCCTAGCTTAGAGGATTAACCAATGGTTTGAGTATCCTGGAAAGTAGTAACTTAACAGATAACTAATTTAACTTTGTGTAATTACAAAGATAGCATTTTTCAATACAATTTTTACCTTGCCTTATTAACCATATTCTTGCAGGAGGGTTAAGTGTAAATGCACTAGTCTTAAATTGGTATTACTTTTCAGAATCCAGAATGCTTCTGCTTTAAAATACTGGTGTGGGAGTGTAGTCTCAGGGGACTACAATGCCCCAGACGGGTCCCTGGTGGTGGTGGTCTTCGTCTCCTGAGTAAAACCAGTTGTCTGCACCAGTATTCGTCCCTTCCCAGAAGTCCTCCTCCAGGGAAAGTCTCTACAGTTCTCCCAAGACACTAAAGTTTCAAACTAGTTTCTTTAGTCCTGTATTACGTCCAACAGTTGTCTTCAAGCGGCACTCTTGTCCTTCCAACACCTTCCTGCACTGGAAGTGCCCCAGCTTCCCTTCGCCCCTCACCCCCAGCTTGTCTCCCGGCCTTAAAGGCCGCAGGGAACTACACTCCATCCTGTGGAATACCTGGTAAGTAAAATATTCTGGTTTTGATTTGGTTACTTTCTCTAAATCGCATAGATCAAGAGTAATGTGCTTAGAGTACCAAAGATGCAGGTTTGAAGCCTCAACATGGCTCTTGTTGTGCCCCTTTGAGTAAATTTAGATTAAATTAATTTTAAACGGTTTCAGATGCATGAAACAACGGCTGGTAAGAACTGTGCGTAAATACTGATACCTACAGCTGGGATCAAGTTAACTCTTACTGCTAGTCTTGGCAGAGGGTTCCAGCTAATTAATATCAAGGATAAGGAAGCCTTCAGTCAGAAGTGAGTTTACTTGTTAATGTTTAACATGGTTATAAAAGATTGAAATGTGCATTAAACATTTAATATGGTAATCTTGGTGGACTAAGATTTACTTAACGACCAAGAATTGTGGTAACACGACGTAATATTTTTAAAGTGTGATCCAGTTCATGTGGAGAAGCGACTGAGGGCGGGGCGAGGGCCTGGAGGTGGTCATCCGGGTACACTGTCCTGCACCAACTGGTCTCACTGGAGGGTCTGTATGGCTTGTTTGACTTTATTAATTGGTCATTACAGCTCAAATTGTCATAACATACTTGGTGTTTGGTAGATTTTTAAGTGCAGGTTACTCGTAAGGGGCTCAACGGGTGTAAAGAGGTCCGTGAAAGGTAATATTAACTTAAAGATGTCTTGAGTCTTATCATAAGGAATATAATAGTTGTGATGTTACTCCCGTCCTCAGGCTCGGGTGACAACAGGGAAGGCCAAGAGGACCGTCTCGGGCTACTGAAGAACATCTATAACGAAGGCATAAAGTGGCAGGACATTGCCAGCATGTCAGTCTGTCGTCTGTGGGACCAGCCTGAGATATATATTTTTGCCAGAAAATGGCCTCGTTTGTTGAAAGGTTAAGTTGTAAAATATTAAAATTTATTATAGCACATAATTTTCTTGAATACCTTACCCAGGTCTTTTGATGCTTTGTCTATACAACTTGCCACCAAATACCTTGAGTGAAGTTAGGGTAATTTTTAGTTTTAGGAAAAAATTAATAAATCCTTAACTCGTTGGTTAAAGAAATTATTAATGGCTTGACTTGTCCCAAGACATTAGAACTAATGTACATATGGTGGTTCACATATACAAAGTACCCCCCCCCCCCCCCCTTTTCCACAAGACCGGAGTGTAGGCGGGTTACTTGTAAAACCTGGTTGTGGCACTATTTTGGGCCTCGTTCTCGGTGACCTCGCGAGGTATCTACGATGAAGGACTTTTGTCCTGTCAGTGAGCTAGTATCTGGAAGAAACTTAGTTTTGCACGAGATAACAAATGTTAAAGTAACGAAAGTATATCCCTCTGAAGTTTCTATGAAATTTATTAAGATGTGGAACAAGTGATGCACGCATGTTGTTGAGCTTGTTCCGTCAGTTTTAATTGTGAACTGATACTTGCATTGATGGATATCTTTTTTATTTGGTGAATTTCTACTTTAAAAATAGCAAAGATGCGAGAGTCGGCCACGTCAACCTGAGTAACGTGAACTTCGTGAACTGCAGAAGACTGTAACGTTCTTGTGTGTGGCCGCCCACTGACGAGCCGTGAGCCTTGTGTTGGGACACCCTGGTGGAGTAAGAGTACGGACGCTTGGGCTGCCGCATGTTGAACGCCCTGAGACTGGAGTAAGAGTCCCGCTGGTCTCCTGCATGTTGGACGCCCTGGTGGAGTAAGAGTACGGACGCTTGGGCTGCCGCATGTTGGGACGCCCTGGTGGAGTAAGAGTACGGACGCTTGGGCTGGCATGTTGCCGCCTGGTGGAGTAAGAGTACGGACTTGGGCGGGGATGGGGAGAGACTCGTGAACACTCCCGCTGGTCTCCTGCGTTGGTCCATTATTGCAGACTCCTTTAATCCCAGCAACCTTTGTCTTTCTTCAAAGATATCTTGTTCTACTAGCTTATCTTGGGCTAAAAGTTTTGCATCTGACATGGTTTCGTGTAGGAGCTAGAAACATTAACAGTACCGTTGATCTTTGGGAAGAAAGCTGTCAGACGCCTCTGCCACTCAATTTTGAGTTTGCGTGTCCATTTTAGAATTCAGTCTTGGATAAATACGAGGCAGTAGAACAATGAATATGAACTCTAGTTACTCAAACTATTTCTATTGATGTCATAGGTGTATCCATCTGGACTTGTATCAAAGAATATAAAGATTCTTAATCTTCAAAGCGTCTAAATCTACCAATTAGTTGATAGCTCATAAGTCACGTGACAAACGGGTCTGATCTTGCCTTATGCACCCCATACCCATCCCGTGGGCGGTGGTGGAAAGGGTTAGTCACATAATGGGTTCAGGAAGTGAGCCCCAGAGTTCATTTAGCCAAGTGACAATCGTGTGAAGCTTGCTGGACAATTGTTAATGTTACATGTATACAATCATTTACACAAATACATACATATCGATAATCTTCTGATATCAAGTGATTCAAGAGGCTCTGAAGTCACTAGTACATGGCACTATAGTGACAGTCTTGCTTTAGCCACCCAATTGGGCGGCAGCTTTACAGCCACCCAACTGGGCGGCAGCTTCAGTCATGTTCACCACAACGGCGGCAGCTTTAATCATGTGCGCCACCCAATTGGGCGGCAACTTCAGTCATGTTCTCCACACAACAGCGGCAGCTTCAGCCACCCAATTGGGCGGCAGCTTCGGCCACCCAATTGGGCGGCAACTTCAGTCATGTTCTACACACAACGGCGGCAGCTTCAGCCACCCATTTGGGCGGCAGCCTCGGCCACCCAATTGGGCGGCAACTTCAGTCATATTCTACACATAAGAGCAGCAGCTTTAATCATGTGCGCCACCCAATTGGGCGGCAGCTTCAGCCACCCAATTGGGCGGCAGCCTCGGCCACCCAACTGGGCGGCAACTTCAGTCATATTCTACACACAACAGCAGCAGCTTTAATCATGTGCGCCACCCAATTGGGCGGCAGCCTTAGCCACCCAATTGGGCGGCAGCCTTAGCCACCCAATTGGGCGGCAGCTTCAGCCACCCAACTGGGCGGCAACTTCAGTCATATTCTACACACAACAGCGGCAGCTTTAATCATGTGCGCCACCCAATTGGGCGGCAGCCTTAGCCACCCAATTGGGCGGCAGCTTCAGTCATATTCTACACACAACAGCGGCAGCTTTAATCATGTGCGCCACCCAATTGGGCGGCAGCCTTAGCCACCCAATTGGGCGGCAGCCTTAGCCACCCAATTGGGCGGCAACCTTAGCCACCCAACTGGGCGGCAGCCTCGGCCACCCAATTGGGCGGCAACTTCAGTCATGTTCTACACACAACAGCAGCAGCTTTAATCATGTGCGCCACCCAATTGGGCGGCAGCTTCAGCCACCCAATTGGGCGGCAGCCTCGGCCACCCAATTGGGCGGCAACTTCAGTCATATTCTACACACAGCAGCAGCTTTAATCATGCCACCCAATTGGGCGGCAGCCTTAGCCACCCAATTGGGCGGCAGCTTCAGTCATGTTCTACACACAACAGCAGCAGCTTTAATCATGTGCGCCACCCAATTGGGCGGCAGCTTCAGCCACCCAATTGGGCGGCAGCCTCGGCCACCCAACTGGGCGGCAACTTCAGTCATATTCTACACACAGCAGCAGCTTTAATCATGTGCGCCACCCAATTGGGCGGCAGCCTTAGCCACCCAATTGGGCGGCAGCCTTAGCCACCCAATTGGGCGGCAACTTCAGTCATGTTCTACACACAACAGCAGCAGCTTTAATCATGTGCGCCACCCAATTGGGCGGCAGCTTCAGCCACCCAATTGGGCGGCAGCCTCGGCCACCCAACTGGGCGGCAACTTCAGTCATGTTCTACACACAGCAGCAGCTTTAATCATGTGCGCCACCCAATTGGGCGGCAGCCTTAGCCACCCAATTGGGCGGCAGCCTTAGCCACCCAATTGGGCGGCAACTTCAGTCATGTTCTACACACAACAGCAGCAGCTTTAATCATGTGCGCCACCCAATTGGGCGGCAGCTTCAGCCACCCAATTGGGCGGCAGCCTCGGCCACCCAACTGGGCGGCAACTTCAGTCATATTCTACACACAGCAGCAGCTTTAATCATGTGCGCCACCCAATTGGGCGGCAGCCTTAGCCACCCAATTGGGCGGCAGCCTTAGCCACCCAACTGGGCGGCAACTTCAGTCATATTCTTGTGACGGTAACGCGTTGGTGTTCGGCTGTTTAAGGCTAGGGGTATGGCCTCGTCACATAGTTATAAAAAAAAGAAAAACTGGAACTTCGTCTGTGGTAAGGAGAAGACACACAAAACACAAGTAAACTTTAACAATGAAATTTTAATTACGTTAAATAAATCAAAACATGAAAATATGGACAAACAAATATGTATAATAAAATCAATCAATCAAAATAATAAGAATAATTAAATGACACAATGAAAAGTTACGTTAAGGCAAAATAACAAGAAGTGCAACACAAAAGTAAATGGGAGGTGCTGGAATATTGGCTTTAAGCCACCACTTCTCTCAGTACACGCTAGCGTCTAGCCGGGAGTAGTGGTAACAACGAGAGCACCGAATATTCTGAGGTCTGAGGTCGTGGCGACCCCAGACATCAAGTAGTATGGGGGGGCGAGTGCAGGTGCAGCCAGACCGGCGACCAATCAGCGGAGCCGGTAGCGATCAACATGTAGTTTGGTGGTTTGAGTCCGAACAGGTGGCTGGCTGCATACGTTTTGCTCACCCTGGCAAGCCTTGCTGGTGTTGTTGTCGTTGTTGGACATGTCTTCCATAGTCGTTTTATATAATTTCGACGACGTAATTATGGAGGGAAGAGCAGGCTCAATCTCTTGGAGATTATCGTCACATTCTACACACAACAGCGGCAGCTTTAATCATGTGCGCCACCCAATTGGGCGGCAACCTTAGCCACCCAACTGGGCGGCAACCTTAGCCACCCAACTGGGCGGCAGCCTCGGCCACCCAATTGGGCGGCAACTTCAGTCATATTCTACACACAACGGTGGCAGCTTTAATCATGTTGGGTACATGTTCGCCACCCACTGGGCGGCCCAACTGGGCGGCAGCTTTACAGTCACGTGCAGGCTGCACCTACAGTGAGCACATTTTGGATACTTCCCTCAGATGCCCGGCAGCACAATTATGGATGAAGTTCTTGCACATTTCTTGGACTCCATTGATGGTGTTTTCTGAAATCAGCGATTTTTTTTCACATTCCAGTATATGACGACGCAAAGTATGCCAATAATTCTGACAGTTTTCATTTAGTCACATCTACAACAGCAGATGTTACAAACTCCCAGAGGTACTTGTAACAGAGCCTAAGCCTAACAGTGGTGACATCTAGAAGTCTGCTAACCTTACTAGGTGACCCATAGACGTGCGGTACTGCCTGCACAATAGTATAACTAGTGTGACTTTCACCAAGTTGGAGATTTTATTAATGTTCCCGGAATATTACTGTTCAAAGGCAGTCCAAGATGGTAATTCTTCCTTCCTTTGAGCAGAAGGTCTTTGCTAGCTCATCAGTTCTATCATGCATTTGGAAACCCAATATGGAAAGTTTTGATGAGAAATATCTTGTGCTACCCAATCCTCCAATATATGTACCTAACCCATACAACATTGTAATCATAATTTTCATGTGGTTCTATTTAACGCACATTTTACTACATTACACCTTGAATTAATCTTCATTATGCTACAATATACCCGTTGATAACAGGTACATTAAAGTAAAATGAGGGTTAACACTTGAAACTTTGCTAGAAATTACCTACTTAAAATTATCTGTTAGATTAAGGACCTGTCCGAAACTCCGTGTTATTGGCTTTACAAGTTAAAACATCAATGCTATGTACTCAGACCCAATGTACCTTCATATATATAT